AAATGTGATCACATAGTATAGAAAAATAGAGTATCGTTTTCTCTATCACTACATAAAAAAAGAAAATTTCTTCAAACTTCTTATACGAAAATAAGATAATGATGTCATTACTTGTGGGATGCTCTAAGCAATTTTGTCAAAGAATCTACTTTATAAATTACTAAAGCAACAAACTCCTAAGCTAAATGAACTCATTATCATGTATCTATGTCATCGTCGTTCTTCTTCTTTTCTTAATTTCATTTTGCAGTTATCCAACCCTTAAGCGATTATGAAAGAAGAAAAAAAAATGATATAATATAAATACGAGAGTTATATCATATAGCAGTGTTCCATAGTCAGTTTTTGAGCATTAACCCATTAAAATGTCATTGAACAGCACGGTAGCGATGGTTACTTCAACAGAAGTAACAAACACAATCATTATTCTCAATATTTTGATGGAACGATTTGTGAATCATCTTCCATTAATACTCATCACTTTTGGTTTGATCGGATTCATGAGCAATGCTTTAACATTTACTCAAGCAGAACTTCGATCGAATATACATGTTGCATATATTTACTCTTTGGTTCTATCATGGATGCTACCGTTCTTTTTTTCAATACATTGCCACTCTATCTAAATTCAGGATATAGAGTATATATTCCGTGGATCAAGATACCCGACCTGTGCAAGTTCTATATTTTTATGCTTGGATTCCTCCCTCATTTATCAATTAATCTTTTGTTGATGTCTATTATTGATCGATATGCTTGCACATGTAAACTGGCATCACCCATACGTCGTCTCAATAAACTTAAAATGACACCATGGTTGATCGCTATTACTATCATCTTGAGTTGTGTCGCTTCACTTCGTGGACTCATCCTTTACGAGTATAAAAGTGGTTTAGGATGTGTAGTCAAATATCCACTGATCAATAATATTTTGTATATTGCGGTCCAATGTCTTATGCAACCAGCGGCAATGCTTGTGTTTGTCTTGCTCACGTTTCGGAATGTTCATCAAAGTCGTCAGCGAGTAGTAAGTTTATTAATTCTCTCTGGAAATAGATAATGATGATTTATTTTAGCATGGGACAAGAAGGGCACAGTCAAATTCTTCTAGAAAACGATTCATCACTATGATCTTCACACAAGTTATAGCGACAGCTTTCATTACATTACAATGGTCGATTATGTATATGTATTATTATATTCCTGCCAGCGGTAGAACCTCCGAGCAACGAATTATTATTAATTTTTCGTATTGGCTTACAAATTATTGTTTCTATTTGAACAATGTCAAATCATTTTATCTATCAATATTAACATCACGCGTATTTCGACAAACGTTCATAAAAGCGTTGATCAAACGATTGCCTTACCATATGCGTCAACGATGGCAAGCATCTCAGCCAAATATTTCCATACTGATGGCTGTCATAAAAACCAAGCAACGAAATACAAGACGACATGCAACAGAAACAGTACTTTGAGAACAGTTTAAAAACGTTTCATTTTTTTGTATCAAATGAATGTTGTTCCTCTAATAAATTGTTGAAGCATCTTAATCTATCATCATAATATACTATAGAACAAAATATATTTTATCAAATCGCATAAACTTCATCACGCACTTGTAATAAGTGGACCATAAAGAATGTGCCTCTCAGTATTTTGAGTATATATTACTTATATTTCAACATTGAAAAAGAACATTTTTTTAGAAAAAGATTCCTTGTTCAATTATCTACAAAATGCAGATATTTTATTATCTTAAATAGTCTCCATTATTTTGCCACATACGATACAATCGATATGTTCAAGATGAGCAACTTTCAAAAACTAGATGTGGGTATGGGTGTCAGTGGAAATGCATTTCTACCCAGCCGTCCACCCACGCTCACATCCTTCATTTCAATTTTGATGATTTAATTAATATATTGGAGACTTTTTTTAAAAGATGGTAAAATGAACAATTTATTTTTCTAAGTTTAAAATAGTTCGCAATGAATCGAACACATTATTTTCTGTATTTTCCCAACGAAAACTTTCTTGTGTCCTTGCTTTTCACAATTCTAATATAGACACTTCCCATCAAATTTAAACTCGAGAAGTTATATCTATTTCTCTAATTGCATTCGCTTCAACATAAAGCCTATCGATAATGAAATATAGAAAAAAATCTGATTTATGATTTGAAAAACAGATTTAGTTTTTTTAATATTATAAGTAAATATAAATAAAAAGGCGTTGTTGATAATAAGGAGAGAATCAGTGATTTTATCAGTTTAAAAATTTCGGTTTTTCCAACAAATTCAATTCGTTCTCATAAAAATATGTAAATATGTTAAATTGAAATAAACACAAAGTGTGAAACCTATTTTAAGTCTCATATCATGCGTTGATTAATTGAAACATACTATAATAAGTGTCACGGCAATGAGAGACCCATTATAAACATCTAGTAGATAATCATATTGAGCTTGAAAATACCGACAAAGTAAATAAAGTACATAAGGTATTATAGAAAATACACAAATCATATTTTGTTGAAACAAAGTCACAAAAGATATGATAATTGCAACGACATGATGAATAAATGCATTGAAGCTAAGGTAAGTACAATAAGACGAGTATAGAGTATTTCAGCAATATATAGAGTCCCATACGTTAATAAAACAAAACCAAATTGTACAATAGCGTGATATTTTGAATTTAATCTAGTTGGAAAATATTTCTTTGCTTTTGTACAATAAAACATACAAGTAAATGTTTGAATAAGCCACAATCGACTAAATACAAAATATATTTGAGGAACGAAACCGTCAAGATGTCTCGACATTTGAACCCATGTAGACAAGAGCTGAACATTAGAGTAAACCTGATTAAAAACCATATTATGATAAACGAAAATATGTCAATATAAAATCAGAAAAACAACAAATTAATTAGAAAACAACAGAAGAAAAAGAGGATGTGGGTGTGGGTTATGGATTACACCCACATTTACATCCACACGTACACCCACACCCTACAAATCAAAACTCATTGCTTCTAAATTGATCGTATGCAATTACTTGTCTTTCACTACCAAGTAACTAAACAACTTAACAAGAACTTAATTATAAGATCTGAAAAAAAAGAAGATTCAAGAAAAGCATAATCCTTGCTTTATTAGTCATTCAAATTAAACATATAATAAGCATTTAATCATATAAATACCAATTGTTTTATATTCAGAAAAATGAATATTACTACTCATTCGTTGATAATCATTATAATATACTTAATTATCAGAAGCTCCGATTGTATAATGCGTCCATGATCATAGCTTCAATGGTATATTGCCAGACTTTTGTCTCAAAATCATTATCTATCATACATACTTCTCATATACTGAGGCTTTCCCAACATCTTCCATATGATACATCCATAGAGAAAAAAAGAATTTTTCTTCTTATTTCATTTTATAGAGCATCGAGAAAGCAAAACACCATACATGTAAGTATAATCAGACTAAGTATAATCTTTATGCTGAAAACTACGTAGAATAAGTGACGACAAAAAAACACGACCAACACATTGTAAGCATATCACTCTTACATTGGTTTTAATAAAATGTTCTTCAAAGAGAAGCAGTTAGTCCTCATTCGCTGTTTTCTGTTTTTATCCAGAAGATACAACATAGTTAATAAGTGTTCATTCTTTCTTGTCTATGTTTACATTTGATGTAATTATACCGTATAAATGTTTATTTGATGTCTGCATCTATTCATTCGTAGAAGTTAATGAGCATCAATTCAAATCACTAATCATAACTACGATTGTAACTATGGCTAAAAGAGATGCGCGAAGAAAAAATGGGTCGTAATGCTCCTCCTGCTTTTATTATTTGCCTATGTAAAATCCGCTCTCCTGCTCTGAGTGGATGTGGGTGAGTGTCTATTGTTCATTAACATCCACATCCTCAGGTGTAACTCTTTTTCATAATGTCTAAAAACTTGCTGCTACAACGATAATATTCAAAAAAATATTTCGAATTTCATTGCTATGAATGTACTGAATCAAAATTTTTAATTACTAATCTTTGAGATTCATCAAGTCTCAGATTTTTAAATTTGTGGAGGTCGACATTTCATGCAAATTTATGCAATGTTGCCATCCTCTAAATAAAAGTAGTTGCTTCGCCGTAGTTATTGTTTGCCTAACGTTAGCATTTATAACTACCCAGTCGGTTATTTGATAGGTGTTTCAACTTGCGATGGGCACCGAAATCCTACATCAAGATCTCGCTTTGTTACTTTTGAATAGTTCAAGGATTTGACGTGAAGTATTTGCGACGTACAGTGTCCGACCACTCAAAACCATTGTATCCGAAGGAATTGAAATCTGATCAATATAAAAATGGTTTTTTATCACATTGAAATTTCATTCTAGACTTGTCGAAACCTATCGAATACGCTTGGAGAATAAAATTCAAACATGGGTACTTACGATCCACTTTCTCAAGTAAATATGAACTCTTATTCTTCTGTGAAAATCATCTTTTCGATTTATCATAAAAGAAAACACTTGCATGATTGTATTTGTTATATTTACGTTTACCATTTCTTTTTAAAAATTAAAAGTAACATTTCTTTATTCAAGAACGAAAAAAACTTTAGAATATCTCTAGCTATTCACATGTTATATAAAGAGCTTATTTGATAAATATCATATTTCGTAATCAAATGATTTCTGTGGTAAATTATAAAATCAATATCTAGAGATTTTTGTCAGAAATTGAAAACTCATGATTATGTCTTCAATATTATATGCCAGACATGAATACTTCAGTTAAGATCATTGAGGAATTTTACACGATCAAAATTAAACTCAGCCGTCAAAGTGTGCATGGACGTGTTAGTTTGTATGATACTCAAAATTGTGATAAGTCATGGCGTAGTAGTTTACAAGTAAACTAACGAATGTTATTTGGCCCATAATGTCAGAATCTACACCATCATCAAATAATGCTCTATTATCAAAAGCATGGGTTTATTATGAACAAGACTCAATTAGAACCAAATGAAGTAATTGTTGAAATAAAAGGAATTGGGCTCAATCCAGTAGATATTCAACTCGGTAATACTGCCACAATGGATTGCAAATTGGCTACTATTTTCTGGTATAAATAAAGCAAAAATTCCTGGTGCTGATTTTTCTGGTAGAATTTATAAAATTGGTGATGAAGTATTTGGTTTAAATTTATCCATTGCGGGTAATGGTTGTCTTAGTCAATATATAAAATTATCTGAAAATATGTCAAGTATGACTCATAAACCAACTAATTTATCACATAATGAAGCAGCTGCTATACCACTTGTTTTTCTTACAGTTTATACAGCTTTACACGATTAGGGTGGTTTTATAGATGATCATACAAATAATCAAAAAATACTTATTATTGGTGCATCTGGTGGTGTTAGTCATATAGCATGTCAAATTGCACGAGTAATGAATAAATATATCGTTGAAATATGTTCAAGTCAAAATATTGAATTTGTTAAAGAAATGGGTGCAATGATATTATTATGGCAAGTAAACAATATGGACCATATGATATTATTCTTGATTGTGTAGGTGGAATTGAATTTATTCCATGTCTTAATTCAGATTTTCTTCAATCAAATCAATCAATTTATTTAACAATTGTTGGTGATAAAACATCATGAAATATTTTAGGTGGTACAGCATCTTATTTATTTACTCCTGCAATGATTTTACGATCGCTTAAATCAATAATTGGTTTTGGACCACGTTATTATTGTATTAATTTATCATCGAAAGAAGAAAATATAAATCAAATGTTTTATATGCTTAATAAAGGCATTATTAAACCTGTAATTGATTCTGTATTTCCATGTAGTAATGATGTAAAACAAGCTTATGAACGTTTAGATACGAGTCGAGTTAAAGGAAAAGTTGTTATTGATTTTGATAAATAAATCAAATGCAATATAACGCCCTCTTTGTTTTTAATGTGTTTGATTAGTTCGTTATTTGACCGATAACTAGCAAAGAAAGTATTAGTACCTACAATCAATATACATAGTTTTTATATTATACAGTGAGTTCTTCTTTGTTTTTCTCATTTCTAGAATGCAGAAATCACCGACAATAGGTATTGTCGGTGGTGGTATAGGTGGTCTTGCATCAGCTTATTATCTTTCACAAAAAGTAGCACGTTCGAAAATTCCTAATTTACGTATATTATTATTCGAAAGATCATCACGTTTTGGTGGTTGGATACAATCTAAACAACTTGAAAAAAAATATGATTCACATATATTTGAACTTGGTGCACGAACATTACGTCTTCATACTGGTATAGCATCATCAAATAATCATTCAACAATAAATACATTAAAATTACTTGAACAACTTCATATATATGATGATCAATTTTGTCCTATTGAAAAAACATCACCAGCATTTAAAAATCGACTTATTTATTATAATAAAAATTTAATTAATATTAATGATTTATCATTAATATTTGGTGGAAAACCATTACGTTATCCACCAATATTTTATATTCTTTATGAATATTTTTCTGAAAAAGGTCGAATGACTGTTCAAGATGAAACTATTAAATCATTTATTTATCGTCGTTTTGGTAAATATTAAGAATTTTGTTTTGTTTATTTAAAAAAAAACCTTCTTTGAAAATTAGGTCATATTCTTGCTGAAGATATTGTTGAATATTTACTTGATCCACTTTTAAAAGGTATTTATGCTGGTAGTGTAACAGATTTAAGTGCTCGAAGTGTATTAAAAAAAATTTTTAATCTTGAACAACGTTATGGTTCAATTGTAGCTGGTCTATTAAAAGCAAGAAAAGAGAAACAAAATGAAGATTCAATACATTTTCTTTTTAATGATTTAAATTTAAAAGATTATTCAACATTATTAAATAAATATCCAATTTATTATTTACGAGATGGATTAGAAACACTTGTACAAGCATTAGTAAAATATCTTCAAACATTACCAAATATTGAATTAATACCTAATCAATCAATAAAAAAAATTCAATTTTTAGAAAATGAACAAAATTCTATTGAAATTTTAACACAATCTAATGAAAAATATCATATTGATCATTTAATAAGTGCAATACCATCATTTGAATTAGCTAATTATTTTGATAATAAACAATATGAAATTTTACGTACACGTTTAAATCAAATACCATTTGTTAATATGATTGTTATTAATTTACTTTATGAAAAACAAGATATTTTTCCTCAAGTAGCATTTGGTTACTTAATACCATCACGTGAACAATCACATTTACTTGGAGTTTTATTTGATTCATGTATACGTCATGAAAGTGATAAAAAAAAACGTGGATCACATTTAACTGTTATGATGGGTGGAGCATGGTATGATCAATTAAGATTAGGACAATGTACTGATGAACAATTAATGCATATTGTTATGAATGAATTAAAAAAACAAATGAATTTAAATGAAAAACCATTATTTTATTCGATATCAAGACTTAATAAAGCAATAGCAGTATGTTAAGTCAACTTTTTTAGTATTAATTTAAAGTGAAATATGTGCAAAGTTCATTTTAGTCTAAGTGTAAGAGCCCATTGGATTGGTCTTAACTTAATTATTATCAGATCATCTGAGAAATCACTTTTGCGTCGAGACTATATGCATTATTTTGAAAAGAGTTTATAATTTTTGAATTTCAACTCGATTATTTCCATAACGATAAAGTTTAATCAAAGTAATCTATTGTGAAAGTTTCACATCTTTTAATTTGGATGTAACAGACACGCTATTAACATAGTTGTATCTTAGGATAGGAACAGTGAAGAGACGTGAAGCAATCATAAAAAAAAATTATTTTCGTTAAGACTTCTCTCTATGCAAAAAATTTCAAGCTGAAATTCGAAAATCAATTTGACTGATGTTCCTCAGATGAGTTCATGACATTCATTTAACGAAAACGGTAGAAGTGCAGTATCTTCGCTGCGAAAGATAAGGATATGAAAAATTTTCAGGAGTATTCATAGTTAATTTGAATCTACATAAAAAGCACATAGTGTGAACTTAAAAAGAGATTAATCAGCTAAGGACTAGCTTAGATATAACTAATTGAACTCATCATTGAATGATAATAAAACTAATTCTTTTTTCTTATTTCTAGAATTATCATGTCGGTCATGAGGATGTTCTTGATGATATTTATGCTCTTATTCGACGTAATAACTTACCAATAACACTTGTTGGAAATTCATATCGTGGTATTGGTGTTAGTGATGTGATCTTTGATGCTCGACTCGAAGTCGAATATCTTAATTTAGAGACTATGAAAAGAAAACAGTGAGCTTTCTTGATTGTTAAGTAGATTAGATACATTTGTTAACCTTTGTTTTTATGATCAATTCTTCATTTTCAATAGAGTTCTTTTTTTTCAGATAATATTTTATTAATATGTACATGTCACTTATCATTTCAACTATACTTTTTTTACTTGTTAATAATGGTCTAACCATTGATTGTCCAAGTTCACCATCAAAATGGTGTGAAACAAAAGAAATTGCTCAAGCTTGTGATGTATGTAAAATAAAATCTCTTTTCTATTAATTTTTTGAATATTCTTCTCCTTAGGTAATTGAACAATGTGAAGCATATATTTGGAAAACTCGAACAGAAAGTGATCGTGTTAATTTATCAATTTATTATGAAACACTTTGTCCTGATAGTCGAAAATTTATAACAACACAAGTTTGGAATACTTATCAATCTATACTTGATATTGTTAATATAACATTTGTTCCATATGGAAATGCTCGAGAATTATATCGACCAGAAACAAAACTTTATCAATTCTATTGTCAACATGGTGCTGAAGAATGTTATGGAAATTTGATTCATGTAAATATCAAAAATTTTCTTGTATCACATAAAAATTCAAAAATTTCAAAAAACTCAAACCGTGATTCTAGTTCCGGATAGTTTTTGTTGAACTACCGAACTCTATGGCACACTTACGCACTTATATCAATAAAGCGAAAAGCAAGAAAATAATATAATTCAATAATGTCCTTACATATCATAAAAAAAGTCGTTCTTATCGAGTTTTTATTATTATGATACTTATTAAAAAGTGATTAAATATCATAGACCGATTCTACTATTACTTTTGAATTGTCTTAAGTAGTTTGTAGCGTAGAGTCTATTCTAAAATTCTTGGATCTCTACGTTGTTATGCAAGCTAAAAGAGTCAATATTCATGGATAAAGAACTTATTAAAAAAAAATAATCCTCATAAAGAATAAAAGTCAAATCAAAAATAGCTATGCTTCCTTTTTCTGATTATTTAATAATAAATTGAATTTCAGTTTATTTTTTATGTTGTTGTGTTTTAGACTTGTGTTTTAAATTTCTATCCCAAAAGTGAACAACATATGGTAAAAATTATATTTGAAATAGAAATTTATTTAATTTAATTTTTTTTGATTTTCCATTAGTCATTTATTTATTGTACAGAATCAACTGATGGTGATGTTGAAACTGTAGCAACACAATGTGCACAAAAATCAACAATTGATTTTGATCAAATAACTGCTTGTACTCATAGTCGATTAGGTAATCAGTTACAACATGCATATGCTGTTCAAACTGAAAGTCTTCAACCACCACATCAATATGTACCTTGGATAACACTAAATGGTGAACATACAGATGATATGCAAAAACAAGCTGAGAAAGATCTTATTGGACTTATATGTAAATCATATAAAGTAAAAATGAATTGTTTTATTTTTTTGATTATTTAAGATCAATGGTTATTTTTTTTAGGGATCTGATCTACCTGTTCAATGCAAAAAAGACTTGTGAACTGTGTCATTGTTTATCTTTTGTTTTTCATTTCTCTCTTTCACTTTTTTTTTCACCCAGTGATGTTCTCGGTTTTTTTTCTCTCTCTCATATATGACATAAAACGAATAAGTATGTTATAAAAGTAATAAACTATTTCATTTTTATTCGTATATTCTATCAGATAATTGATGAAATATTTTTGATTTCAATGGTAAGATCCCATTCAGATATATAATATGAAAATTATCAAAATTAAACAAGAATATTAACATGATTATTTAACGGTTCGATTTTCTTATAAATAGAAAAATTATAAACGAATACTTGTAATATACATAATGCATTATTTCGTGTAGAAGACTTTATCATGTTTTTTTTTTCGGTTTTCGTAGTGTCAGAATAGATTAAAAAATAATTTGCTAAATAATAATGATGATGTTTTATTTTCATAGAAAAATTAGTATATAATGTTATCAACATCATTTTTATCATTTTTATTACGTGCTTTCTTTTTATCATGTATTCATCGTTTATATTTTTAACAATTTTTATTTTTTGTATCAATGGTGTTTTAACAATTAATTGTCCAAAATTATCAGCTAAATGGTGTCAAAATAAAGAAATTGCTCAAGTTTGTGGTGTATGTAAATGAAAATATTTCTGTCTTTTTTGTTTTTGTATTCTGATAATTATTTAAATAGCTACTTCTTTTTTTTTTAATTTCAGGTAACGGAACAATGTAAAAAATTTGTTTGGAAAATTCATGATAGAAATGATAAAGTTAATTTTACACTCTATTATGAAACACTTTGTCCTGATTGTCGACATTTTATGACAACACAACTTTTAAAAACATATCAAACAATTCTTGATATTATTAATATAACTATTGTACCTTATGGAAATGCACATGAAACATATGATTCAACAACGCATCTTTATCAATTTGTTTGTCAACATGGTCCTGATGAATGTTTAGGAAATCTAATTCATGTGAAATAGAAAAAGAAACATACTGTTTTTATAAATAAATATGATTTATTTTTTGTTTTTAGACTTGTGTTCTTAATTTTTATCCAGCTATTGAACAATATATGGTAAG